GTGATTCTTAATCAAGTGTGCACCAGAATCACCTGGGCTGCCTATTAACCAACTTGCTGGGTCCCATCTCCAGTTTCTGATTCAGGTCTGAAGGTCTGGAGCAGGACTTCAAACCTGCTCATTCCAGTTTGACCCCCTACTGAGAATTACTTTCCACCCCAGATACACTGAATTAGACTCTACGTTTTAACAAGATCTTTTGTATACATAAAAATCACCTAGGGGTCATGTAAAAAATATACTGATTCCGTTTATCTGGGGTGAAAATGCAAATTCTCAACAGGAGGCAGACCAGAATAAAATGGTTAAAAGTCCTAGCCAGGAATATAATGTTCCCTACTGGTCCAAAGTTTTGAGAACCATTGGCCTCTTATCAAGAGAATGAACAGAGATCCTCAGATATAAGGTAGACTCTACAAGACCTTGGCAGAAGAGAGGTAGGGGATATGAGAGTGCAGAAATAAAATCCAGTACTCAAAACAAGTTTATTTCTTGTGCACATAAAATCAGCTAGGGGCAGTGGGAGAGTAATTAACAAAGAGAGGGCCTAGTTCTCAGTGATGTGAAGACCCAAACAGATTGAACCTTTGCCATCTTCAAGGGCTTAAAGTTATCCTGGATATGGCCACCCAGCCAGCATACAGGAGAAGACAATGGAGGATCACGCAAGAATTTTTTATGGGTGAGGTCTGGATTCCTACAACTATAGTCCATTATGCAGAATTTAGTCACATGCCCTCACACAGATGTAAAATAGCTGGGGCAATGTCTAGCTTCACAGCCATATAAAGAGGGCTTCAAAAAAACCCTGGAAAAATTCCTATCTTTTCATTCCATTTTCCACAAACTTCTTGGCGTTCCCCCTCACATGGCTTTGCAACAATACCTATGAGTTGCTAGCAAGAAGCTTTGATGGGCAACTATCAGTCTCTGCCTTAAGCAAATCTGAGTTTAGCTTTCAAGGAAATATGTAGTTAATTACACAAACATTTAATTTGCTAAAATGAGTGCTTGCAACTAAAAGTTGCAAATGACTGGTGACCAGGGGAATGTTATGAACCACCCAACATTCCACTGAGAACGGGGAGAAGAGGCTCAGATGTGTCTGTAGGAGTCACAAGGAAAATAAAGTTGCTGTTATATCAATTCTACTGGGTTTCTCTCTTTCAATATGTTATGCTACCTTTTAGAGATGTTATGTTTAAGTGAAACAAGACAAAAGATTTCATAATTTCACATTTATACAGCTTGATGTCCTTTCTCATACTTAACGTAAATAAGAAATCTACTTTTAAGGATAAAGATACCTTCAAAGTTTTACTGGAACTCCAAAACCAAGACTGTCCCACAAAAACAGCAGCAAACATTTTGCTTTTTAAGATGACTCTTAATGTAAGGGCACTCATTTGTCTGTGTTTGCTGAAATTACAGCCGTGCTATTTTATAATGAACAAAGTTGGAGTCGAGATCAAAATTTAGATGACTTTTAGTTAATACCTCTTTTTTAAGGCAATCCACCAGAAAATACTATATAATGCTATGTACTATAAGGACAAAAGAAAAAAAGAAACATCCTTCATGGTCTTTCATTCATTTCATCAATTAGGACACACAAGGCTGCATCCTTCTCTATAATCTGGTCTCTCCTATGACCAGAATTTTCTCTTTGTTGTTCATTCTGTCCAGTGCAACTGCTGCTATTATCAGCATCCATTGGTTCTGTTTTAACTCTTATCCCTGCTTCTGAATGTGGCAGATCATCCGGCAAAGAAGCCAAGCAATTTTGAATCATCTCAATGACTCGTTCCAGGTGCTTCTGAAACCTCTCAGCTGTTTCAAGACGTTGACGTTTCTGCACTTCCATCATTACTCTTAAAGTCTCTCTTGCTTGGTGGGGTCGGTATTCATTTATAAGATGATGTACATGAACAAAAAGCAGCTTAAGATCCTCTAGCTTTTCTTCTCGCTTTATACTCCCAGGGCTCCTTATCAAGATGTCTAAGAGGTCTAAAAAATTAGTAAGGATAGACATATTGAGCTTTCTCAGTTCTTTCTTATGATCAAACTGCATAGGATGAAGTCGCTCGATGCCCTGACTTTCCAAAGGGCGAATGATGAGATCATCACATTGGAACTGGTTGCCAAACATCATATAACTATCTTTTATTGGAGGTGGAGGCTTGGGAGCCAGGCCTTCCTGAATATTTTCATCCGTATATTCCTTGATGTACTGCATTGGAGGTGGTGGCAGAGCACTGACTTGCTGTGGTTCACCCATTGTGGAAGGTCAGGAACCTACAGAAATAGACAAAAAGATTTAAGTACAACAACCAAACCAGTGTCCCAGTTCCTAACTACAAACTATTTTCTTATGGCAGGATAGGAAGGGCTTAGGGCAAGAACACCATAGTTTCTAAAATGAGCATATTTATAACAGATAGAGACTGCCACAAAAGCAAAAGACTTGTTACTCTGTGCTGAGGAGGTACAACCAGAATGCAACTTAGAAGTCAAGATGGCCAGACTTCATCTTTCATACTTCAAAGATATTTTCAGGAGAACCTATCCATGGAGGAAGACATCATGCTTGGTAAAGTGCAGGAACAGCAAAAAACAGGGAGACCACGAAGACAGACTGGCACAGTGGTAGCAACAATGGGTTCAAGTGTAGCAGTAATTGTTAGGATGGGGCAGTGCTCTGTTTTGTTGTACAATAAGGTCACTGTGAGTTGGAAGTCACTCGACGGCACTTAACAACATAGAATACAAGGAGTCCTGTTGTAGAGCTATAGGTTAAGCACTGGAATGTTAACTATGAGGTCAGTGGTTCAAATCCATCAGCTACTCCTTGGAAACCCTATGCAGGGTCAGCAGGAGTTGAAACTGACTCAATGGCATTTTACAACAAACAACATATAATGCAATTTTTCCATAAGCAAAAAGGGGTGAGTGTATACGTGTTTATGAAGGGGAGGTATGTATAAATATGGTTTCAGGTATGTACAACACAATTATATTCATTGCAAAAAGTTATAAAACCAACTTTTTAACATAAATTTCAAACTCCTATCCTTCACTCTGGCGTCCCAAATTTTAACACATTCCCTCATTTGCTTTATCACTTACTCACCTTTACTTATGAAGACTTCAGTGTGTATCCCAAAATCAAGAATGTTCTTTTATAGCTATAACACTATAAACATTATATGATTAAACTAGGGAATCACCATCAATCAGGCACTTCAAATAAAATTTTACAAGCCAAGGCTTCATTCCACACAAACCTTTTTGGGTTTTGGAGTCATGTCCTGTGCTCGGCAACACCACGACTTGCCATTTTCCAAAAGCCAACTAAATAACAAGTACCATTGTTTTACATCCTCTCATTTCGTTTTCATATTTCTATGAGACTCCCAGAACTCAACGTGGGAAAGTACTTGTCATACACCAAATATCTAGTAAATGGCAAAGTGGGGATTATTACTTACCCGAGGTCTTTCTAGTTCCAGAACCCTAGCTCTCTCAATCAGTAAGCTACCAAGCTTCTCGCTTTATCATTGTTGCTGTTAAGTGCCATCCAGTCGTTTTGATTCATAGCAACCCTGAGTCATAGTGTGGCGCTCGGCTTAATACGCTGGACTGCAAGGTCAGCTTGAACCGCTAAGTCGATGGTTCAAGCTCACCAGCCACTCCTTGGAAACCCTATACAGGGTCGCTATGGGTTGGAACCGACCCGATGGCACTTAACAACAACATAGCCTTCCCAAGGAGAAGCTGGTAGATTTGAGACATCAACCTTGTGGTGAGCAGTCCAGGGTTTACCTTATAGCGTCGAACTAGTTGTACATATAGACTTGACACACAGTATTACAGAAATTGTACACTTGATATACTCGTTATTATAGAAATTATGTTTATTTCTCTAAATCCTTTTAGACTGAGCTTTTTCAAAGGCGATGTTGGCGTTTTACTTATTTTAGTAAAGTCAGCGACATGAAGTTTGTGTTTAACATCCACTTTCTAGTTTGTTCTGTTGTGGGGGCTTTTTAAAAAAGGTATTTCGGGGTCCCAAATCCAGACATTTGATTCAGCTTTGTCTATCGGGGTCGCTGGAACGTGGTTTCTAAAATCTCCCCAGGTGAGTCGGATGATTAAACTTGAGTTCTACTGCTCTGGGACCTCCAATGTTGTTAAATGCGGTCCAATCGGTGCCGCACATGGCTTCCAAGGGGCTGGTGGGTTTGAACCGCCGACCTTGTGTTTAGCAGTCCTGTGCTAATCCTACAGCGCCAAACCAGAGCTCCTCGGACCCCACATCAGCTCAGTTGATTTCCACAACTGTTCCCTGAAACAGGATGGACGGGGTACCTCTATGGTTTCTATTTTACAAAGGGCCAGGAAAGGACTCGCTCAAGACTATTCAACAGCCCGGCGGCGCGGGGACTAGAACCCAGGTCCCAAACTCCCCTCCGGAGGAAGCCCCGAGCAGCCGTGCAGATAGCACTAGGGGCTGGCAGTCCCCTCCAGCTGTCGGGAGGCCGCGCTCGCGGAAGGACGCAGGAGGGCGAGTTCACCAGGCCATCCCCATCCCCTGATCCCACCCCAGCCTTGAGGAAACCACGGGGTCCGGAACAAGAAACGAAGTCCCGAGCTATCTCCGCTCACTTACCTCAGCTCCAGGTTCACACTGGCAGCTAGCTGCCTGTGCCACAGCCACCAAGACACGATTTCCGGTTTCCTTCTCCAGGAAGAAGCTCCTGGGTGCTGTTCTTTGATTGGCTGCAAAGACTGTCTTTAACTGGGGCTCTAATCCCGCTTCAGCCACTAATCGCTACTACGCCTGCGCGGCCCGCAGTTTGGCCCATAGTAACCCTGCAGTTTGAGTTTGGTTCTCCGTGTATTTTTTATCCAGAGTCTGATGTCTCTGTTCGTTTTTTGGGGGGTTTGTTTTGTTATTAAACGCTGAAGACAGTTAAAACTGTCGTCATATAAGCCATACGGCTTATATAAAACTGGAAAACACATACAAACATTTAAAAATTTATATCAACTCAACCTTAAACCCAAGTCAAGTGCCGTGGAGTCGGTTCTAACCCATAGCAACCCCTGTGTAAGGTTTCAGAGGGGCTGCTGGTGAACTCGAAATGCCGACCTTGTGGTTCAAACCTACCTTTGCAGTCCAGTGCATTAACACACAGCACCACACCAAGACTCCATATGTAAATAAAATACATGAAATATAAATATGTCAATGTTGCTGTTAGGTGCCAAGTCAGTCTGACTCCTAATCAACCCTATGCACAGCACAGAAGGAAGCATTTCCTGGTCCTTGGCTATCCTCAAGAGTGTTATGTTTGAGTCCATTTTTTACGCTAATATGTCAAACCATCTTCTTGAGGGTGGGAGGGGTGTCCTTTCGCTGACCTTCCGGTTTATCAAGCATGGTGACTAAAAATTAAATTGGACTCTATATGCCATTTATAAGGAACTCTGCTAGCTTAGTGGTTACGAATGGGGCTGCTAACCTCAAGGTCAACAGTTCGAAACTACCAGCTGTTCCGCAGGAGAAAGATGAGGCTTTCTGCTCCCGTAATGATTTACAGCCTTGGAAACCCTGTGCAGGGTCGCTATGAGTCGGAACCGATTCCATGGCACATTACCGCCACAACCCATGCCATTTATAATTCTTTTAAATAAGGATATATTTATTACCATGTTTGGGCAATAATATATATTCAACTTCATTCTTCACAATTCACTTACTTTTATTTTCTATTGTTGTTTTCAACCATTATTGTGCCAGACTTGTAGCAATACAAGCTTCCTAGAAGCAGCTGGTGAATTTGAACCGCCCACCTTGAGAATCAAACTGACATTGCAGTCCAGTGCATTATCCCATAGTGCTGCATGAGGACATTAAGAAATGCCTATTAAAGTATTTACAGACAAATTACCAAGTTAAAATTTTTTACAGGGTCAGATTTAAAGTAGCACAAATTTCTAAATGTGTGGGAGTCTGAAAAGAGCTGTAACATTTTCAAGTAGAAGTATATTTTAACAGAGAGTAGAACTTTTATGAAAATCAACCTGTTTTTGTGAAAATTGGCTAGTCTGATAAAAGTTCTCAGCAGCTCTTCCTCTTCAAAATTATACCCCCCTCCTCTTTTTTTGTTTTTTGTTTTTTTTTAACTTAACATGGAGAATTTCAAATACACACAAGGCAGAGAGAAAAACTGTAATCAACCTCTATCTTCTCATTATTACCCTCAATGATTACTCCTAGTCATGATTTCATTTCACCGTAACTATTTCAGCATAAATTTCCAAAAGGTAAGTCTCATTTCCTTACTAGCCAATGCTATCATCTCATTTGAAAATAAGTTAACAATAAATCCTTTAGTATCAAGTATGAGGCTAGTATTCCAATTCCAGTTTCTCAAGACCCAAATAAAGTCCACCTTTTGCTATTAGCTGTCTTTTTATTTCCTTTTAATCTATAGATTTCTCCTTCATCTCAATTTTCCCTCATTTCATTTGTTTGTTTAAGATATCCATTCACTCTTTATGAACATGCCTCAGTTTGACTTTTCTCCTTTCCCTTGACCATTAATTTAGTCATGATCTCTAGTGATCTCAATGGTTATTCTCAGTCCTCATTGCAATGCACCTCTAAATAGCATTTGATATATTTGGGTCATCCCAGAATTTCTTTCTCCAGTCACTTCTGAGTCATAATCATTCTGATAGTACCACCTAGGTGATATCATCTCCTCTGAACTTTAGAGCCTCATACCAACATTATTAAGTAGCCCAGATGCCATGTGGGTTAGGCTGCTAGCTGCAAGGTCGATTGTGGGACCTGTTTGCTCTCGTAAAGTTCTGTACTTTTGGAAACTCTATGTCAGAATCCATGCGATGGTAGTGGATTATTGGTTTTGGACCAACATCAGACCTCTTTACTACCAAAAATTCAAGGCAGATTCAGAAACAAGAGTGGACCAAGAAATATCATTGCTGATGTCCATGGATCTTGGCTGAAAGTAAAAAACACCAGAAAAATGTTTATCTGTGTTTTAATGACAACAAAAGACATTTAATTGTGTAGATCACAATGAGTTATGGATAACATTGAGAAGAAAAGGAATTTCAGAGCAGTTTATTGTGTCCATGCAAAACCTCTACATAGGTAAAGAGGCCATCATTCAAACAAAGCAAGGTAATAATGCACTAATGCACGGCTTAAATTTAGAAAAGGTGTGGGCAGGGTTGTATCCTTTCAGAGAAAGGAT